ATGAGTTTGCTTGGAAGAGGTAAAGAAGTCAGGAGCTTCTTACCTTCTTACCCTTTTTGAAAGGTAACGAGTTTAACTAAATACGATAAATCGCTTTCGCTTTTTGTTTCCCAAACACTATTTGTAGGTAAAAAGAGCGATTTTGCTATAGTTATTAATAAGATTTTAGGGAGAGTAAGGGGTTTTTATCCGGTTGTATATATAAAGTTTTATGGGTTGATACAAAATGTTTTTGCTATTATTTTCCTTCATCTTTAACAGTGTAGAGCACAACTCGGCCTATCTAGAGTTATAAAGGAATTCAAAGTTATAGATTACTTATGTTACTAGATTTGAATTTCTCATTGACCAAACCGTTACGTAGGCTTTCGAGTTGTTGATCGATTTTAACAAACAACTGACCAGACAGATACTCTCTCATAGAGGAGGAGTTAGGCAAACGAAAACCAAATAAAAAAATATGTGAAACAAACCGAACAAATAGAAATACAGGAACAGACAAACAATATTTAAAAACAACTTCATGCAAAGGTAAATAATGGGTCACTACTTTGAATTCATTTGCTTCATAGGAATGCAATGCAAAAGGGTAAATTTTATCAAGGAGTGTCCCAAGCAAAGATAGCATGTACACAGGTCTTTTTATTTGCTTTTGATCCTAAATTATAGTATGGTAGTTAATTTTTTTCAGTTTAACTTGCATTATCACATTGAGCGTAAAATTAAAATGAAATTTTTGTAGATGGACATTGAATGTACTTAATCAAGATCACGAGCTAAATTTTTAGTCGTAGAGTTAATACGACATTTTTCTAATTTAAATTTAGTATTAATAGGTGTACATGTTGTAAAGTTTACTTTTGTTAACTTTACTTTTATTAGGCTTGAGGAAAAAAAAACTATCGAACCGAAGAATAAAAAAAATATAAGATAATGTACTGAGAAACCAGGCCATAATTCAATTGGACCCCGCATGAGGAAATAGGAAGTAGGAAGTGAACCTTTATAATAATAGCCTTTCAGTTTCGGAGGATGCCGTAAAATCTACTCTAAGTTCGCTGATACGGATACTTGTACCCTTAAATAATCAATCAAATAAGTTGCATTCAATTCCTGCTATGAGACATACGCTAAACTTATCCGAAGGAAAGTGCGCCGCAATGTTATCGCTAAGGTACGTGAACTGATTGATGTAAGGCTATTCATATTTTTGATGGCTTTTAATTTCGTATTTGATAACTCATTCCGCATACTAGCGGATCCAAAAGCTTTCTAGTCTTAACATTTTGTGTTAAAAGCTATCTTTCTTTTGAATCTCTGAACTGAACGTTTGAGTATATTAAGAGACGCCAACATAAACCAATAGATAATGTCTATACATGATTATTAAAGAAGAAGAGGCAGAACGAAACTGAAGGATTTATTAGGGCCTATTTACACGGTACGACTTTGTCGCATGCGACAAGCTTACGACAGGCTTACGACACGAATTGTTTCGTGTAAATCAAACCTACAACTCGCTTACGACTCTTAAGTCATGTCGTAGGCCTGTCGTAAGCTTGTCGCATACGACAAAGTCGTGCCGTGTAAATAGGCCTTTACGTTGCTTTTAGTCAGATGTAATAGCTCATTGCTTTTAGGTGATATAGTTTAGACCTTTGCAGTTTGAGATAGAAAATATCATTTCGTCCACAATAATAGTCAGTTACTTTTCTCCCGTTTTTTACTAAGTTTCTTAAGACAATAAGATTTAAAAGCGAAGCGCGAGTGCTTTTCGAAATAAAATTAAAAAAATTATATAATAGACAAGTGGTGTGACAAGACTATATTTGTCACGCTCCTGCTTACGGCTTACGCACCACTCGAAGCAACTCTAAAGTGAATTTTCATAATGTTCATGTGTACGACTTAATATCCGTTCCGATAACAGCGAAACATTCCAATTTTTTTCAAAGCTTATTCATTCGATTCCGCAATAACCGCGCTGTGAATTCCATAACTCTGCTGTGACCTTCATGAACCTATTCTAAGCTACCATCTATTTTTGAATACTCGGTAAACGATGTGCCTCTACTTCCTTGTTATTTTGTCTTCACTTGACACTCGAGGCTCCTGGTGGGGTTGATCATCTAAATTTGATGTCTTTTTATCCGGAGCTGGGGCTTTCTTTGTGGTTAAATAATCTTTCTAAAGGCGACTTTAACTTGAGAAATTATTTTTGAACGTTATTGCCATTTTAGAGTATTCATAGGTTAAGTAAGTCCTCTCATTCCTCTGATTCAACTGTCCTTTATTCAATAATCAAGATAGCATATGAAAGGTATATTCAAGTATATCTATAATACAATACTCCTAATTAGTTATTTTACTTTTACTTAGGAAAGTAGATTTATGACACGATTGAGTTATAGAGAGTTCCCTTACAGGGATAACGCTATTTAACGCGCTACACTACATCCGTAAATTTCCGGTTGATAGCAAATATGCTGTCAGCATATAACATTTATATCGTAAGATTCCCAAATTTGTGCATTTAAAGCGAAGGCATTTTATGAATTCCACTAATCGTTTTTGGAGGAAATTAAGCTACAGATGTAAACTACATATAAATCCCATTTTTTCTTATATGCTGGAACATTTTGAAGGTGTCTTTAACTGATTTCGGAGGTCTGGCAAGTCAGTTACGGTTGTCGTTGGGCAATTCTCAAATATAAACCTGATCAGATTGGCCATTTTTCACCATTGTTCGTTTCTGTTGCGACAGAGAATGCACACGTACAAGATTCAACTTCTCTATTGCCTGTTTCCTAGAAGCTTGTCGACCTCGTTCTTTTTAGCTTTTGATTCCGCGGCAAATTTGTTAACATCACTCGCTTTTAAATGGAGTGAATCTATGGCCACTCATTCTATGTTCTTTTACAATCATTTTTCAAGTTTTTGCTTTCTCTAGTTTTCTTAGATTCAATTTCAATTTAAATAAAACGTGTTTGCAGTGCGATACTTTTTGCGAGAAATCTTGATCCATCGTCATTGACGCCAGGAGGTTTCGTTGCCCCATTGGTTTTGCGGTTTCAGGAATAATGACAAACTAGAGAGTGTCAGGAAATCTTGACATTTGAAATATCTATCCCAAATATCTACCCCAAATAGATCGTTTTTAGGATGTTAATAGTTGTTGACATCTTTAGAGGAGTCTGGTTTCAGTTAGGAAACTAAACTTTGAGACTCAGTGGTTCCAAATAAAGAAGTAAAAGATTTAGGTCAAACTCTGAAAATTGTCCCAGTTAGTGATTCTTTTTTTAACTCAATGATGTTCACCGAACAGGACCTTAATTTTATACTATTTACTGATAGCGATGCGTTTTTTCCTTAGCTAGTTCGGATAGTTTGAATGCATTATTTCAATAACGTTCTCTGATTTTTGGTTTTCGTAACGCTTAATACCTGCTTTTTAGACAGCATTTAAAAAATGATCACCCTTGAGAACATGTGAAGCAGAACTTCTTATTTTGACGTGCTGGGATTGCATTCAATAACGATGAAAATAGCAAAAGGTAAGATATGGCCATAATTTCTTCTTTCGGTTCTCTGGGTTCCGCTCAAAATCAAGCATGGTCAGATTAACTATAACTAGCACTTTCAAACTCTAATTTAATACCTGAAAAGGAGGTTTGACCGAGTACAAGAAACGATATCATGACGAGGTGATTTCCACTATGCTGAGCAAGCACAATATTCGAGATTGATTTTTTTCTGCATTTTCTTTATTTTATGCCCCTGGTGACCGTAGCATTTAACTGATTTCTGTTATATCTCCAGTGAACTAGATGTGCATCCTTAGCAATCTATTTAGTTAGCGCTAGTGGAGGGGTTCCCGCTTTTAGTTTCTGTACGTGTAATTGAGTTATGCAAATGGCTTGATTTCGTCAATATTGGTTGTTACTTTCAGTACATTGGGTCAAACTGATCACAAGCAGAGAGTCACTAGCTTTCTGTCCATCTGTTTGATCGTCTGCTTTTTCTTTCATTATATTTTAGTACGCCGTAGTCACTACGGCGTATTATGCAAAGGAAAGCTGGTACGTTGCGGATATTTGAACAGAAAAATTGTGCCAGGATGTATCAGATTTGTTTAGTTTTCTACTTCGAATATTCCCTGGTTTGTGCCATCAAAGTTATTAATTTAGCCGAGCGTTAGACGTTGACTCGTAGACTTGTGTAGAATCAGGTAGTTTAGACCTACAAAGCAAGAAGGTTGACACGAATGGCTTTGATGTTTCATAACGAGTGCGTATTGTCAGTTTCGTAATCTAGTTGTGAAAACCGGAAAAATTTTAAAAACTACAGTCATTCTCTTACGATTTTTCATATTAAATCGATTATTTGGCAATTAAAAAAGGAGTTGAAGTATGAGATTGGACGTGGCTTCAGGAAGAACTTTTCCCACAGGAATCTCCGAACGTAAAGATATTTTTAAATCTCCAGAAAAATCGGAAGTCGCTTATTCTTTACCTATTAGGGTGCGCTTCAGTGCATTTTTATTCCATGACTTATGTCAAGGTTTATAAATATAGCGCAAGGCGCTGGCAACCAGGAATCTTGAACGTTCGGATACGGAAATATTTCTCTGACAGCTGTTTTGGTTCTCCAGAGTTCTTTGGCATTTGCAGTATCTCTCCCAGTTTGACTCCCAGACATGATCCACATGAAGCTCTCTCTCATTCAATTCCAAAGTCTAAGCAAGCTGATGAGAACAATGAATGAATTGCCAGTAATCGGATACTTGCGTTTACGCGCAGATTTCTGGGATCGCCACGGGGGAAAACATTGCGACTCACTAAGAAGGATTGTATGGTAACAGACGTCCCAAGTTCACAAGTCGAGAAAAAGCAAACGATTAATTCATGAATTCATAATTCATTTTATTTTTGGCTAGTTTGTGATGTTGCACGTCATTGTTTCTTAGTTTTACTTAGATACGCTTCTCTCTGCGAAAAATACGATTTTTAGGACTTCTTTAGGTGTGTTTTCCAATTTTTCACTATGCGCTAGACTGATTCATGAAATCCTGCGATGTTGCTTTGATAGGTGTGAGACGACTCACTCCTACCAAAGACGTCGTTCCCGAACCGTAAATTCAAGTCATGAGTCTGGTGTTAGATCAAGGTAACAAAATTTTTCTAATAAGTTGAGGTATTCTTAATACCTGTTTGCTGGATAATGTGTGGATATTTCAACGAGAAGTTACATTTTAACCACAATTTCTTCAAGCCAATTTACAGTGTGGTCCCTAACGAGGCTCAGTTTTAAAAGGAGGTAGGGTTACCAAGCTAATTCTTAACGGTCGTGTGTCAAGGTTGATATGTACGCGGGCTGTTAGAAATCTATAAACTGGAAATTTTTGAAGCAAAATGCGGCTTAGCGTTGGATGCACGCGGAAGATTGAGTTTGTAGTGAATTGAAATGAAACTAAAGTATATTTGCTTGGATTCGGCGTTGGATTTGTGGCCGCCCGGTCATTTTGCACTGGGATTTTTCGCTTCTCGGATCGGGCGTTCGGAAATGGAGTGTTCAGCCTTGGGCTCAGTTCTTATGTACGTTGAAAACCTCGAAATGGACAACTCGCTAAAATGGGTTCTTTTCATCAAAGTAAACGGTTAGATAACAAGTGATACGCTGTGGAAGTAAGGTGAGGTATTTTTATTGAGAATTTGACGTATTGTTTTATTCCTTAGAGCGGTCGTAAATATTCTCATACAAACTCTAATAAATCCGCCATGACTGTTATTGTGCAAGATAATCATCTCACAGCTGGAGCTTGGGCTGCCTGTGGAAGAACCGTTGAAAATTTGAACAAGTTATAAAGAATAGTATGCGGAACAAAATATGGTCGATTTACAACGATAAATATTTCGAAATACGAACATTTTACAAGTAAATTCAATAGAACTTACTCACATCTTGTGTGTCCGTTGTGGTTTCCGGCGATGTCTGCCGTTTTAAACTTGCATTGCCATCACTATTATTCTTGGTATTCTTCGTATCATTTTGAAGTCGGAACAACCTTTCGCCATATATTTCCTTCTATTGAGTTGCAATGTTTGCCCCGTGGCGAACCTAGAAATCTGTGCGCAAACACAATTACTGGCAACTCATTCATTATGTTAAGATCTCAAGACTAGACAGTCAGATCAACCGGATGATGGATCGATTTTTTATCTGACCGTTTCTTGAGAGCTAAACCACTGGCAGCCCAAGCTCCAGCTGTGAGATAATTATCTTGCGAGTAAGAGTCAGGGCGAAATTATACGAGTGTGTATGGGAATATTTACCAACGCTTCTACGATTAGGAAAATACAGTCAAATTCTCAATAAAAGTACCTCACCTTATTTCCACAGTAAATCGCTTTTTGTCTGACCGCTTACTTTGTTGAAAAGAATCTATTTTAGCGACTTATCCATTTCTAGGTTTTACTTCAGGAGAGAATTCTCTTTATTTCTCGCATGTGATTATGGGACCAAGAAAAGGCTCGGAAAACGGTGGAGGATGGGGAAGATAATTTTACGCAATCGCGGTCCAAAATGCCAACTCGCAAGTTTATAGGAGAATACCGCAATCTGAGATTAAAATTACCGAAATAACGCAAGAAAAAGTTGTCCTATATCGCAATATTGTTTACCTACAAATCATAATATGACCTTTGAAGCAAGATCATGGTGACGTGGCTTTAGTTTTTGAAAGACTCAATTAATGACACGTTGAAGAACTTGGACGGGTGAAATCACGATATCTAACGAGGATGTTTATCTTTCCTGGGGAAAATGTTTGGTAAGAAATCAAATTTTAGGATAGGGCGATCAGATTTATAGTGTAGGGAAAATATAACTTCTACAAAATTTTTTGTAACCCATCGTCGTTGTGGATATTTTGACTCAGTTGACCATAACATAGTACCTTCACTTTGCTATTGCCTGGAGCTGGGACTGGCAAACACACCTGTTCCCGGAGAAAATTATTCTTGATTAACTTAAAAAAAATGCGACGAGGAAAATTTTATACTTTATTTCCTTTAAAGCTGGTAACATAAGCTAACTAACCTACTTGTAACTTATTAATAACCTTATTTATTCATAAAATCACTTTAACATGATAAATTTTGGTTATAAACATATGCATGGATGATTTATTCCTCCAGAAAATATCTACAAAATGGGTCAGGAGACAACAAGTCTCTCTACCACCTGATTTATAAAGGTGGTTAGAGAATGAGAAGAGGCAAAATAGCCGTCAATTAGAAATGTCTGAACTGCATTAATAAAACCAGCAGCGCGCGTAAAGCACACGTACGTTGTCAATCGAACTATTCTGGCATGACTGAGTGCTCTTTTTTTTCTACAAGACTCTTAAAACTATAATCTCTCAATACCGCTGGGTATATTAATAGGGGAGCTAGCAGCGTGGATAGCATATCACCATAGGCAAGAAAATAGCCGAGCAAATTTGTTCTCAACTGACCGTCCGCCTCCACAGACAGTTTTGTTTATACCATTTCTTTTGATATGATTGGTCTAGACAAAACCAAAACAAACTGACGTGACCGAGAGAATTGAGACGATAATTTTTCTTGCTAGCTTTCTCGTGGCGGCCATGTTGTATGCGAAGGAGACGACAGAACAGAATTCAATATTTCAAGCGACATTATTGATCTATTTATTTCTGTATTAATGTACTACAAATCTAATTTTCGACAGACACGTCATTTCTATTCTCGCGCCCCGCTATGTGTTGTGCGCACACGTACTTTGCTCTCAGTGTTTTGTTATAAAATTTTCTCCGTTTCCGGTGAGATGTCTAAAGAACACCTCATGTCGTATTTACGTCAATCTCATCTGCATTTCCCAAATGAATGTTAGAGGAAATGTCTCGCATTGAAAGTAGTTTTGCATGGAACATACTTCGACCAGCTTTAACCACCGATTGTTTGTTAGCTTGATTTGAAGAACATCCTCTAGCTTTTTCATACAAGGGCAGTCCTGTTCTGGATGAGATCTCCGCAAAAAAATATCAAATACTATCCTTTTCCGATGAGCTCAGTTTAGAATAAGCTTTTGTCAGACCGTCTTACTCGACATTCCTTTAATTACAAAGCCGAAAGACTGTTTTCAAGAAGGAGATATGATCATTCATGAGCTGAACGAATACAAAAGGACCTTAAGGAATACTAAGAAAATCGAGTGCTGACAGAAGCCGTGACGCCATGACGGCCTAAGACAGGAAGTCACAACAACAACGGCCCGTACATTCGGACTAAAGCAACGTGCACTCGACTTCTCTTTTGATAAATGCGAAGCACTTATATCGAGGTTAACCGTAATATTTTTCTTTTTTTCGAAAAAAAAAATCGTACATACCTCAAATTTACTTGATACTGATAGCATGTGTGTCCTCAGCCATTCCAAACAAGTTATAGCAGCTCGACTTTAAATTGTGATTTCTCCCACACATTTTAACCGACACCATTCAAACTACTATTGACGCGAAGCTCTTTCTGTGCTGTATCAAGTGAAATGGGTCCCAAGGGCCATAAATATCAGAGACAAAAATGCGGGACTAAAATGTGGGGCTAACCCAAGTTTTTGAAAACTGAACGTGACGCCATGTTTCATGATGTCATGGTATGAACAAAGCTGTCTTTGGCCCGGACTGTTTACAGCTGTGTCACACCACGTATCTATTTACGAGAGAAAACCAAAAGGGAATTAATACTCCCTAATGTTTCTTCTTGATCAAGATAAATGAAGTGTCGTCAGAAAATGGTTTGTCATCTAAAGCCAGACATTACCACGGCCCGGTAAATATTCAGTTATATATATTCATTGATATTTACCATGTGGAAAGGTAGTCTTGCGTGGCAAATCCGAGCGTTCTGATTGGTTCTTAGTTGGTCCGTATTCCACATTTCTACGGAAACGGTCATAAGCTATGAATTTTTGGTCACGGACGCTGGCAATTTAAAAAAAAAAGGTTGATTGGAGTGCCATAATACTGACCTCACTTGCGCGAGTCGTATTAAGTAATATTGGCCTACGGTCGTTTTTGTATGGACCTCGCTACGCTCAGCCTTGACTGCCATAAACGCGGGCTCATATTCCTCAATACAGCTCACACGCTTGGTTTATAAGAAGTTAGTCCTTGATTAACTAGTGTTTAAGGCAATATTTTTCTTAACTCGAATAGCTCGTTGAAAAAAAGAAATAGATGTGAGGCTGAGACAAGATCAAGCGTATTAAAGCCACATTTTTAAATCGTTCCGAGATATTTTTATCTCTTATAGAGCAGTTTAGATAGTTATAATTTCTAGATCCTGAATATAAATCGGTCAACAACCACTGACTACCATGCACCTATCCGATAGCTTAAAAGAAGATTTTTGGTTAATTCGAATAGAAATTCACACTGAACACGAAGAGTTTATTCTTGTTAGAGGTAAGTTGCCCAGTCCATCAAATCCAGATCAAAAGATACGTCATTCCTTTTCAGACTTAGCTTCTAAATTCCACATACATTTGGCTACTTTCGAACTTGTAATGGTCGAAGGTACGATAAACTCCGCATCATTGCCGAAGTGATCAATGGTAACGTTCACCCACTAGCGCTTTGGAGGTTCCCTTAAAGACCTTATCGGATTTGGAACTATAATGGTCACAATCTATACTCGTATTCATACTAGGCGGGGGTCAAAGGCATAGCGTTTGGTATATTTAAAGCGGCTCTTATCCATGCAGCTTATCTAAAGGATTACCCCTCCCCTCCCGTGAGTATTAGAGGCAATGAAGCATGCTTAGATGGCGTAACTGAAGGGCTGTATTTCATTGGTAACTCCAAGATATTATATTGTCCCCTAGCAACTTATAACTTTAGTAACTCGTCCAAGTAGGGGCCTTAACTAAAAGGGCTTACCCTAGTTGATCAGACTTACGAAGAGAGAAACATTTAGGGTTCCACTTTCGTGCTTGGCTAAATCTGTATATTACTTCTGATCGTAGGTTCATGCAGTAAGTTTAATACAGTTTTCTTTCCATTCCTTTATTACTTCTATCATTGCAGCAGAAGTGAAATAGAAACAGTCTTGTTATTTCGAAGATAACTGACAGATCGAATTGATTTGGAGGTGACATAGGAGAGAACTTCATTACTTGGTGAGAATCATCCTTTTCATAAAAAATGGAATTTTAGCCCAGTTTAGTTACCTTTCAGTTGCAGCAGTTCTGTTCTGCGCTTAAACTCAATTAAAACAAAAATAAACTACATTTCCCTTTTTCACGTAGTCTTGAGGTTCGTCACTCTTTGCTCCGTTTCTTGCTTGCCTGGAAAATGGAGAAGTTGGTTTCTTCTTTACGCTTAAGCCCGAAAGTTAGTAGGGATGATTTTGAGTCTGTTGTATTGGAGAAAATTTTTCCACACCACAAAAGGACTATCTATCAGAGAAACAAAAACTGAACGAAATCCAGGCATAAAACTAGTGATGTATGAAGGTTAATTTATTTGGTTCTAGCTTAGGCCAAAAATTTCTGTGGAATGTTCCTAGAATGAAAAACGGATCAAGGTTCTCTAAAAGGCAGAAGTCATTTCGAGATATAAACTTGTAACCTAAGATCCTTTGCTTTGGTTATTTTGACATGATTATGCAATCGTTTTTATGTATGATTACAGAATGTTTAAAGCAAAGAAGTTCAATCTAAGTTAGTACAGCCTTCTTTTAAATGAGTGTAAACTATTAGATGTGCCATCATGTGTCTGACAACAATTTCCTTTTTGAAAAAAGAGAAAATGCCCAGAAGCCAAAGTCTTCGGTATATAATTTATACTATCGTACGCGCGCATGCGCAGTCTGACGCATATTTTCCGAGAAAAGCGGATGATGATAATAGCTTATTCTCAGAAGCGTTTATTTCGTTATTTTGTAGGGTCTGATCTTTTCAAAGTTAAATCTATTTCATTTACGAGAGGAGTTAAAAAAAGGTAAGTGCTATATTTTTCTCCTTTCTCTTTTTTTTAATTTCATTATGTATGCACTCACGGTCAGGTGTTCTATATATCCATAAATCAAGAATGGAAATACCAATAAACTTCGGCAAACTCTTTGCAATAGCACCTTCGATATTTGAACTATGTTGGTGTTTATTGTGCATTTAAAAATTGCTTTAAGAATAGTACGACAATTAGCCATGTTTGCAGTGTAAGTCATTTCGACTGGAGTAGAAAACTTGTTCGAGGAGGTGGTGACAGTAGGGAAGAGGTCCTTCGACAGTTTTGTGAATAAATTTCGAAACCAATGGAAATTCTGTCGATCCGAAAAATAAATAGCATTGACTGAGTGTTTCAATCGCATTTTAATCGTGAATTCGTTTTTTGACACAAGTTTTTTTCGCGAAATCTCTTGACATCTTGTCTAGCTGTCACACGTACCTCAAATGGTAGATATCACAAGCTCGGGGACGGAAGCTAATTTGAAGCCCGATGATCGAAGCAAAACTCAAAAGCGGATGTAACTTCGGATACAAAGCGCTCTGTCATTGGTTGTAAGAGTGTGCTCTATCAGAGTACAAAACAAGGAGCTGAGCTAAAGCTGTCGCGCCATCTGTCAATTTTACTATGATCTACCATTTTTCGGACTTCTCCCTTCCTTTGTTTCCATTAATTGAAAGTGAAATTTGGGAAAAGCGAGCCGCAGAGTAGCAACAGAAGAAACAAACAAAGGTTTGAAACATGCCAGGCGCCCTTATTGAAGTTATTATAACGTGAGCAGAGACGAAAATCCTCATAGGGAAAACGAAATAAACCAAGTTTGAAAAGGTTTTTACGCTCAATTAGATTGTAAGCTTACCCACGGTAATAAAAATCATACACAGCTAACACTCGTATAGTATATAAAGTTTCGTTTTCAAAAACAAAACAGAAAAAAAACAGGAGTGATGAAAAATATAACCATACTGGCATAACTGTTAAAATTCATACAAAATTATGACGGGATCATAACGACTGCGGTTACGGTCTATCGCAGCAAGCTCATATCTATCTCCGGTTATCGCAGTGAAGAAAGCCTCAGAAATTACGTCAGCCGCCCATCAAGCTTTCATTCATTTCATTCATAAAACACACGCCTTGAGCAGTTTGTTTTCTAACTGTCGTGTCAAAAAAACCTGCTTGTTTTTATTAGCCACAATTCGACCGGAATTCACTAAACATTTCATTTTCAGAGTTTGTATTAAAATAAAAAAACTTTGGGCATAATTGTTTTAAATTGGACCTGCCAAACTTTTGCAGATTGTGAACTTTGATGATTTGACATCTTTGACAGCTTTAGTCTTGTTCAACCAATGAGATTATTTAAACTATTCTAGCAATTCCGATTGGCGTAGTGCAGCGTATAAGAGTATGAAGCGTGTTTTACAACAGAACAGAGAATAGTCTCTTTATTTGTCGATCAAACACCAGCTGTTTTTGGTGAGATAGAAACTTTTTCATCTGTGTCCTAAAAATAGAACAAAAAAAATGTCCAATCTTTCATAAACTTGTCGTGACTTGGATTGTTTTTTTACGTTTAAGATTACCATGGCAATACCACAACCTTTGAGAAAAAACCCCTATCCTAGCTTTAGCCTGCAAATCAAAAGCGAGTTCAGGGTAAATGGATGACGTAATGCCTTCTTAAAGTGATTTTGTAAAACCTGATGATGACTATAAGGTTAATGTTTGTACATGTGTTGACCATGAACAAAAATGACAACACCATGGTCCTGGATTGGTCGTTGTAGGAATCGCAAATAATTTTAGTGGATTGCGTCAGATGCCTCACAACTTTCGGTGGCAGTTTGACACATGATGGGAATGTGACTACTAAGAGAAGCCTACCACTTAAAACCTATGTCTTGACTAAGCTTTTTAACGTACAAACAACCAAGTAACGCTTTGTCTGTTGCTTAGGTAAGTGCCGACAATAAACCCAATTTACCTTTCCAAGGTCAACAAACAGGTTTAAGTAAGCTCTTAGAAAAAGGTCAACAAACAGGTTTAAGTAAGCTGTTACAAAAAGTTGATTATGTAAATTCATTGTTAGTTAACTGTGCGCCGGCTGTACAATAAAAAGGGTAAGATAGTTACGCAGAAGAGTGCTTGTATCCTCTCATCTTCTCAGTTGGATGTTTTTGAGTCTGTCTCCATCATAAATTAGTAAATAAATGACTTTATGTAATTTAAAATTTCAGTGCACCAAGTGCGCTGACATTTATCTCATGGATAAAAGAAGTTTTGAGTTGTGTAAACATTTTTGTGAATTCTTGAGTTGCTATACAGATTGAGAAGATACTTCTAAAAGGGAATTGAAATGGCTTTAATCTAGCTCCCCAATTAACAATCTAGACTTAAATCTAATATGTAATAGTCCCTTACACTAAACTTGGACTTAAGTCACGACTGATGATGGAGAAACAAATTGCGTCAGTAGTTAGGTTAGGAGCAAGAGATTATAAACTGGTTGTATTCTCTTTGTTAGGAGATATAATACCAGGAACCAATGACTCTTGATTCTCTTATTAGGGGGATCCCAAGCCCAAATTCTTTCTGATCCGTGCTTTTGAGATTGTATTCGAAAGATGTGCAGAACTGCATGCATGGCACCGTGTTTCCGTAAGATGTAATTTCATGTTACAAGAAATGGATACAGGGGTTGACGCCATGTATTTTCGGAAACTGGCAGATATCATCACGTGTGTTCAAAATTCAATTCAGTGATTTTTTTTGGTAGTTTAGAGGGCTTTACTAGACGAATACTCAACAGATTCGTGAGAATGCTTGTTGCTTTAATTTTTTAAGTAGAAAGTGTCTAAATAGCGGGCATCAACGCTTTGTTGAACACCCATAGGGACTAGATTCGCGTCAAAATCTTTACCAAATGCTTAATTGTTATTTCACCGTGAGGGGCTATACTCTTTGGGAAAAAGACATTTTCTCCATTGCTTGTTATTAGTCGATATGTTTGCACTTGTCAATTTTACTCTTTACTTGATTATTACGTGAAGCAACTTTGGACTTAATCGATAAAGTTTTAAACTTTCATTAAAGGGAACTTTGTTCCCATAGATTTGGGAGTTGCACTCTTCCGTTACCATTTGAGTGACATTTAAAACGTAAAGAATTAAAGCACTTTTACTATTATCGTTTATTCTATGTAAGAAATTTGTTCTTTACATACATCTAAACACTTTTTGTGATAATGCGGATCGAGTGAAATTTATTGCGATTTCGTGGAAACGTACTCCATTCTTTATTTTTCTTACCACTGGCCGAGACTCCATCACGTGACTTATAAATGGTCATACATTTAGTGATATGCTTGTAAGCTACCATAGATTGATTCCTCGAAATATATCAAGAAAAGTAGGGAATCGACAGATGACAAATGATGAACAAATGAACTCGGTTAGGGAAAATATCGCAAGTCTACATTCTTCTGATTCAGCTTGATACAGTTTAATCGGTAATTCATTCGTTATCGATGTTTTCCGTTATGCGGAAGTACACTGGATAAATGCAACTCAGTCTGTATGCTTACAGTGTAGTAGCATTTAGGCTATGATTTCATGTTGGGCTGTATCTTATACACTCGCTTAGTTCAGTTGAGATCCGATAGTCTGTACTATCGTGAGTTATATGTAGTTAACTAAATTATTCATTTTGCAAACAAATATTTATGGTTCAGCAGTACTTTCGCTTTCTAATTCTGAGTGTCGCTTTGAACAACTTTACTTCCCTTGCGTGAGGCATTCTCAAGAAAAATTTCTAGGAATTCGAGTTTGACCCCCACGTCCAATCGTGACATGCAGTTTGTATCGGTTGGGTAGCAGGCTCTTTGATCTAGCAATGGAGCAAAAGAAGGCAAAACCAACTTGATGAGCGCTCCCTAACAAAACTGTCAGCTTCGCAAGCAATACTTATTA